GAGGTAATCCAATTTAAAATAAAGAAGTATCTGTGTTGTATTTTCATTTTCAAGATATTTTCTAATATCTCTTGTGATTCCTTCTTTGATTCATAAATCATTTTATATATTATTTAGCTTCTAAATATCTTATACATTTCAACATATCTTTCTGCTTTTGCTTTATATTTTTTCCTATTGATATAAGAAAACATGAAAATGTTCCATAGCCCAGAATATGGTCTTTGTGAATGTTTCTGTGTACTTGAAGAAAAAAATATTGTTGTTTGTGGTTGTTGTTGTTGTTGTTGTTGCTTTGGTACTGGGGATTGAACCCAGGGGCATTGAGCAATATCCTTAGCCCCCTTTTTATGCTTTACTTTGAGATAAGGTTTTGCTAAGTTGCTTTTGTCTCACTAGATTGCTGAGGCTGGCCTCAAACTTTCAATCCTCTTGCTTCAACCTCTGAAATCACGGGGATTACAGGTGTGCACCACCACACCAGACTGAAGAATGTGTCCTTTTATTGTTGATCAAAAATAGTAGCAGTGAAATGATGAAAGTAATATTTTAGAATGATTATTAATTAATATTTTACATGATGAAAGTAATATTTTAGAATGATTATTCTACTAATTATTTGTAGAGCCAACTACAGCAGATGAATTCAGGTATTTTAAGAAGAATGTGTGGTTACATAGATTTTGAGTCCCTGTGATTGTTGGGTGAAATGTTTGAATATTAATTAGATCAAGTTGTTTCATAGTTGCTGTAATTTGGATGTTGAATCTCTCTCAATGATCTATCTGTTAAAGGTGTGATCCCCAGATTAGTGCTGTGGAGATGCTATGGAAACTTTAGGAGGTGGTGTCTGGTGGGAGGGCCTTAGGTGGTTGGTAGAATGCCCCTGTGCAAGGCTGTGGAACTATAACCCCTTCCTCAATTTTGACTTTGCCTCCTGGCCATGACATGAACATGTGTCTGCTGCATGCTCACATTGCCAGCCAGCACTCCTGCTGGAGACCCAAAGTGCTGGGTTTGAATGGCCTGGATGGTAACTGTAGGCAGGCAGTGAGAAGAGGTACTCTCTGCAGTTGTGCCCTGGAAGGGGTCATCTTCCTTGAGGCCTCTTACCCTCCCTCTGCTACACTGCTTCTGTGTCCTGAGCAATGGACTCAGTCAACATAGATTAAATCTCTAATATGTAAGTAAAAAAAAAATCTTTTCATCTTCTAAGTTTTGTCAGGTGTTTTGGTCGTATCAATGAAAAGCTGAGTAGGAAAATTATCCATAGTTCATGTTATGCAGAATAGGACCCTCTCTAGCGCTATGGGTGAACTTTGTTTAGGTTGGAGATGGGTGAAGCATATGGTGCCATTTTAGATAAGTATAATGAAGGCAGTAAATCTATCAGAAAGCTCTGGGGAAGGGTTTACTTGAATTTTATTGAGTTTTATTTTTTTATAAATAGTCTCCTGTATTTTGACATATTAAGATGTGACACATTAAATTTTAGTTACTATCTAGGATCATGAAGAAAGATCAACTAAGGAAAATCTGCTAAAAAATGACAAACTGGACAAAATGGAAGGCATTTGTGTTTTTAAAGAAAATATCAAATCACTGTATTAATCAGCTATCCATGCTGCTCTCTAGATTTCTGGTATGTGAAATCATGGATTAACTTGGGTAAGCCTCTTGAACTTGAACTGATTGTTATTTGCAATCACAAATTTTATAATAATATCATAATAAAAAGTATACCCCCACATGTAATAAGATGTTCTGGAAAGGAAGGGTTGGTCTATTATTATGGAGAAAATTGATGCTAAAGAGAATTAAATGACTGAAATCTTTGAGGAAAGAGTTCAGTTATTAAAGGCAAAAAGACTGAAATTAGTAGCAGTGAAAACACATGATGAAATAATACTTTAGAATGATTATTCTATAATTATTTGTGGAATAAATGAATTCAGGCATTTAAGAATGTGAAGTTATATAGGTTTTGAATCCCTGTGATATGTTGCCAAAACACTTTATAAAGTATATAGATTATTTTAAGATAGCAGAAGTTATATTTTAGATATCTTAGGTAAAATTCTGATGCTAGAGAATAAACTAAAATATTTAATAATATCTAACATCTAGTGATATATTCTTAAAATTTGAGATACTTCACAAACCATATAGTAAGTAGAAAATAGAATGGTGGTTACCAGGGGCTGGGAGGAGGGAAGTTTGTGGAGTCACTGGTAAAAAGAATATAAAATTTTAGTTAAACAGACAGAATATATTCAGGAGATCTATTGTGTAGCATAGTGACTATTGTTAATAGCAATTCACTACATTCTTGAACATTGCTGTGACAGTAAATTTTAAGTTTTCTCACCACAAAAAATCATAAGTATATGAAGTTATTAATATGCTAATTAACTTCATTTAGCCCTTTCACAGTGCATACATATTTCAAAATTACATGCTGTACATTATATATGTGGGTGTGTATATATATATATATATATATATATATATATATATGTTAATTAAAAATAAATTTGCGATAGCTAACATCATGAGTGCAGTCATGGGCAGTTGAGAAATTGTTGTCCTTTGTTCTGAAGAACATAAGGTCCTGATTTTTGAGTACTCAAAGTCTCTGGCCAGGGACACATTTAAGTAAATACCTCATATTTATTTAATATGTGAATGGCTTAAAGAGGTCTATTACCAATTTTTATAGAAGCCTAAATGGAAAAGTCATCAGGTAATTCTGCTTGGGAAGTTGAAAGCTAATTACTTCTTGGAAAGATTTGAATACTAAAATTATTTCTCCCTTAAGCAAGGCAATTCTAGTCTGCACAGCACTGCTAATTTTGCTTACAAGTATTCAGTTTCTCATGTTTCTTGGATGTTGTCAAGTTGACATAACTACTCCTCTATCACTCATACTTGTAACATCACATGTCCACATTATCTCAGACTCAGATTGTTTAAGTGATTTTTCTGGGAATTGAGAAAAATCAGAGCAGAAACTCAAAGGCAACTTAATGTGAATATTGTACTGTAGTTCTATTGAAAATTTAGTCAGATACTATGCATTTTTAATTAGCAATCAGAGGGTTATGCTACTTTAAAACTTCAATAATTTATTCATATGTTATGAATAGAAATAGAATTTTGAAAAGGACCAATAGACAGCTAATTCTTCTCTGTATTTCTTCTCTCTAGGCACATAGACCATATTTCTAAGACTGTTTTTTAGTTACACACTGTTATTTGACTGAGTTCTGATCACAAGGACACAAAAAGTAATTAAGAAAGCCAAGATTCAAAGTCAAGCACTTGACCTCTATTTCTTTGTCCTTACCCAGTGAATCCTAATTCTAGCCTTTATAAAGTCTTCAGGCAGTGAAGGTAAATAAGATTTCAGAAGATAAGAGACAGAATGAAAGATGAAGCTGAGATCACATACAGCCTATAGACCATAAAAATTTGGGATTTAAAATTTGGGATTTAATATAGGAGTGATGAGAAAGCATAAGTGGATTTGAAGTAGACTAGTGATCAAATCTCACTAATGATTTTACAATATTACTGATATGTAGCAAATCAATTATATGAGAGCAAGAGAACTGGTGAAATACTTCATATAAGAAGTGCTAATAATTCAGACAAGGACAGTAATGATAAAAATGGTGAGACATGATTGGGTTCATTCATATGTTGAAGAGTGGGATGTGGTAGTACCAGGTGTAGTCCCAGCACTCTGTAGGCTGACACGCAAGGATCACTTGAATCTTGGAGGAGTTCCTGACCAGCCTGGGTAATAGAGTGAGACCCCCATCTCTCACAAAACAGTAACAACAACAACAACAACAACATTTGTACATTGAAGATGGAGTCAATCATACTTCCTGTCAGATTGGATAGAAACTGGATAGGAAAGGGCAAAAACAAGGGTAATAACTAAGATTTTATCTTTAGGCAGAAGGGTCAGTTGTGGTGCCATTTACGAAATAGTGAAAACTGGAGGAAGAAAACTTTAGTGGTCAATTTGATGGTTCCATTTTGAATGTAACTTTAAAACTAGTATAAATACCTAATTAGTAATATACTCATCTGGAACTCTTTGAAGCGATTGATCCTGGAGATGTGATTTGGGTGTAGTCATTAGCTAAATAAGGTTAGCTACTGGTCTAAATAAGATTAGCTGCAATGAGAGGCTTGATATAGAAGGATAGAACTAAAATACTCGAAGCAGAGATAAAACAACTTCCCAAAGAGTTTGGTAAAAGAGAGGCCAGAAAACAGGGAAAAGGCAGGAGAGGTAACATGAGGTAAGACTTTCAAGGAGGAGAGAATAATTATGTCATCAAAAGCTCATGATTTGTCAATTAAAATGAAGGTGCCAAAGTGATCATTTGATTTGGGATCAAAGAAAACACTTAAAATTATATACATACATATATACACACATATATACACCCAGTATATATGTAGCTCTCTCTCTCTCTCTATATATATATATATTTACAAAGTTATTGAGTGTATATATTTATATATATATGTATATATATATATATATATATAGAGAGAGAGAGAGAGAGAGAAACACAATATCTAGACCTCTTCTAGTTAAACTTTTGATAAATTTTGACATAAGTGTATACCCATGTATCTATCACCATGACAGAGATAACCAACATATCTATCACCCCTAAGAGTTTTCTTGTTCCTGCTTTGTAGCCATTCCCTCCCTTTTGCCTCTGCCTTTCTCCTTTATTCCCAGCCATCCATTTATTTGCATTCTTTCACTATATAAATTGTTTTTATTTCCTGGAATTTTATACAGATTGAATCATACAGTATGAAATACTTTTTTGGCTGACTTCTTTTATTCAGTGAATTTGAGATACAGTCATGCTGTTTACAGATTTTATTTCTTACTACTAATCTATTGTATGAATAATTTACAATTGTTTATCCATTCACTTTTGGAAGAACAGATGGTTTGTTTCTAGTTTCAGGGTGCTAAAATTAAAACTACCATGAACATTTTTGCAGAAGCCTGTATAGACATGGATGGATCATATGGTATGTTGAAAGTAGTGACCTCCTAGAATGAACTGGGAATTATTACTTCTTTAATTTTTTTTGTGTTATCTAGAATTGGTATGATTTATTCCTCAATTATTTGATGGAATATCAGTAAAGTCATCAGTGCCAGGATGTTTCTGAGGGAGAGAGAATGGTGTAAAAAGGTTCTAACTACTTACTCTTGAGTGAGCTTTGCTTATTTGTACTCAAGTAATTGTTCAATTTTACCTAAGTGCTCAGTTTTGCCATTTTTGACTTATACATGTTTATAATATTCACTAGTCATCCTTAATATCTGTAGTATTGATCACTTTTTATTTTCCTTAAAGAACTACCTATTCGATTTACTGATTTCTTTCTTACTTTTTTTGCTGTTTTGTATTCCATCATGTTTTTTCTGTTTATTTCACCTTATTTACTTTGGGTTTAGTTTGTTTTCTTAATTTAGATTTTATGACAGGTAACAATTTGATACCTATCTTCTTTTATAATAGGCATTTACCTCCATAATTTTTCTTCTAAGTATGGCTTTATTGACATCACTCAATTTTTTAAATATATTGTGTTACTATTTTCACCTAGATCAAAATATTTGTTAGTTTTCATTTTGAGAGGAGTTGTTTAGAAATGTAGTTTTTAATTTTATAACTTCTACAGTTTTTCAGATATCATTCTATAATCTTCCATGTAATCCTGTTATGATCAGAAGACATGTGAAATGACTTGGATACTTTTGATATATGTTTTATCATTAATTTGTCCTATCTTTATGTTCAATAATATATATATATATATATATATATATATATATAGTTGTTGAACAGAATGTACTATAAGTGTTAATTAGATCAAGTTAATTGAACTTCTTTTTAAGTCTTCTATATCTTTATTGACTTTGTTTTATTATTCATTCAGTTATTGAAAAAGTGTTGAAATATTACAATTTTGTAAAAGTCTTTTTCACTTGACAGTTTTGTCACTTTACGTTTATGTTGTCAAACATAGGTTGGAAAACACAGGCCACCATCTGGGTATACAGATGTATGAGGAAGAGTGAGATTCAGGAGACTAATTGAACTGCAAATGAATGGACTGTCAAAGGTATATATTCTGTTGGCAAGAGCATTAAGGAAACATGGAAAATAAGATAACATATCATTCCAGAAGAATGCCATCTATCTTACCCCCAGATCTTGAGGTAGGCATAGCAATACAAATGAAAATACCACCATTTGATAGGACTGAAGAGAAGGAAGTAAGATTAGATAATGATCTACAATACACAAATGCAGCACCTCATCTGTGTCTTATAATTTATAAAAAAAAAAAAGAATATATATGCAATGGACTGAATGTGTCACCTTAAATTTATATGTTGAAAGCCACAGTGTGATAGTATTTCTTTTAGCATTTTAGCTGCTGCAGAATGAGAAGAAAACATTAGAGGAGGGAAAGTTTATTTGGGGGCTGATGGTTTCAAGAGATCTCCAGTCCCTTGTTATGGGTCCAAGGCAGGGCAGGACATCATGACAGAAGGAAAAGCAGAGGAATACAATTCAAGATAGTTTCAGGATACAGAGAGAGTTCCACTGGACCAGGACAAATTATATACCCCAAATGCATGCTCCCAATGACCCACCTCCTACAGCCACACCCTACCAGCCTATAGATAAACTTGATCAGGAGATTAATGCGCTGATTAACTGAAGACTCACAAACCCATCATTTCTCCTCTAAATTCTCTTGTATTTTCTCACTCATGAGCTTTTGGGGTTCATCTCATATCTAAACCATAACAGTATGGAAGATAGAGACTTTTTAAAAGCTTTTTACCTATATGCTTATTTATTTATCATATAATTATTTTATGAGTGTTTTTTGTGCACATTGTAAACCTTAACACTCAGTGTCTTTTTTTAAAAGAGTGATATCAGGTGTTATTTTTAGATTTGTTCTTTTTAATAATTGGTTTTAGAATTATTATAGATTCATTAAGTGAATATAAAAACTTTAGTTCTGTATGTTTGGGAATTTAAAAATTTCTTATAAATCCCATAGCTCATTTTTGTGGGATGACCGGGTGGACAAATAATGCTTTGATTAATTTTATATCTTAAAACCAAGACAATTTCATTTCCACAGCAGAAAGCTAAAAACCGATATATAACAAATATTTCTAATGAGTCCATTGGCCTGAAAATCTTATCTTTTTCATGATGTATTTTAGTGGCAGAGAAATACAGATTGAACAAAACTCTCATATTTTCCTCATAAATGTGTAATCCCCAGAGTACACTTCTCAGTCAGTGCTCTTTCTCTTTCTTTGTTCCATCCTCAATTACAGTTTGTTTACATCACAAAATAAAATGCACCCTTACCCACCCTCTGTCTTCCTAGCCATAGTGGATTCTCGGAATTTTTTTCTTCTGAATGTGCTTAGAGAGAGGTAATGCTAGAGAATGGAGAAGGGAGAAAGTCTTTGTACTACTTTAAAAGGGAGATCTCATGTTAAAACACAGGGAGAGACTTTTTAATTTTTATTTATTTATTTCGGTAAACTGAGGTGGGAGATAACTTCAACATTCCTGGGATGTAGAACATGCGTGAACTTTCTAATGTTTACTGCCTATTAGACCATGCTTCTCTAATTAAAAGTTATTTTTTAAAATGGAGTGTCTTCATCTATATTAAATTATTCTCAGCATTTAGCATATGATTAGAATTAATTTAATAAAAATAGTTTTCAGTATACTGTTATTAAGTATCTTCTTATATTTATATATATTGTAAGGCTAGTTTTAAGACAATAAGATGAGTCTAGCTAAGGAAAAAAAATACTAAGCTACAAGTACTACCAATATTTCTTTTTATATTAGTTATAATGTTTTACTTCAAAAAATTTTATTAAAATGTTCTTAATATTTATATATGAATGTTTTAAAATTAATAGTTGTTCAGATTTCTGGGGTACATTGTGATAATTTAATACTTTTATACAGTGCATAATAATCAAATCAATCATACTTAACATTTGCAACTTAAACATTTTGATTAACACCTAAAATTATACTTATTTATGTGGTACAGTGTGATATTTCAATAAATGTATGCAATATATACATTTATAAAATTAACATTGTCTCCTTGGGTGCTTCTAGTTATTCATAAAATATAATAATAGTTATTAATAAAAATAATAATTTGTTGGGTTGGGGTTGTGGCTCAGAGGTAGAGTGCTCACCTAGAATGTGTGAGGCGCTGGGTTCAATCCTTAGCACCAGATAAGGTAAAATAAAAGACATTGTGCCCACCTACAACTAAAGAATACATATTTAAAAAATAATAATAATTTGTTGAACTTATAGTTTTTCCACTTTAGGTAGAATATTAGAATTTATTACTTCTGTCTTGCTTTGTTACCTATAATCTAACTTCATTATCCTCTGTATACCCTACTCTCCCCAGCTTTACTAATCACTATTACATAGTTCAATTTACTTTTTAAAAACATCCACACATGAGAACATGTAGAATGTTTTTCTGCATCAAACTTTATTTTACTTAATATAATGTCATGAAATTTAGTATGAACATTTCTATTTTAATAGCATTTGCTTATTTTTGGATGGCCATTCAAGTACATCTTAAAATGAGAATTATACTTAGTATCAAAACAAATAATCGAACTTAGGTAACATAAAGGAAGGTTTAATGAGGAATCCACAATTTATTTGTATTCTCTGCTTTTGCTCCTCTTTCCTCTTAGCATAGTAGCATTATAAAGCATCTTTGTGACTGTGATATGGATATAATGTGTATATGGCTCATCTTACATACAAGTGGACCTAAACTTAGAACAATTCCTGAGAATTGTTCTAGTTCATGGCCCACTAATGTTAATCAGAAGTTTCTCCTGCTTGAACAATTGGAACATGATGAAAGAATCAGTTGCAATATTTTTGCTTAAGTAACATTGGGATGAGTTTCTCTAATTTTGAAATTTGAAATAAGGGTCCTGAGAGGTAGAGTTATAATAATGATTTACTATATAATATTTTTAATTGATAAAAACACATCCCAAATTGAACTGCAACACACCCAACGCATTCTGTCTCATTCCATTTTGTGTTGCTGTAACAGAATTCCATGGACTGAGCAATTCTTATGGAACATAACTGTATTATTGTCTCATAATTCTGGAGGCTTGGAAGAGGTGAACAGCTGCCAAAGATCTTCTTGCTGCATCATCCCAGGGCAAAAGGGCAAATAAAATGTAAGAGAGAAAGAACAAGAGGAAGTCAAATACACTCTGTTGTAACAAACACACAATAACAGCACTAGTCCACTCATGATTATAGTGCCTGTGACCTAAATGCCTCCCATTAGACACCAATTACACCCTAGTACATTGCAGATCAAGCTTTAACACCTGAAATTTGAGAGGTACATCAAAACCATAGATAGCACATCTCCATCTGACTCATTAAACCAACCTTTTCTCCTCCTGCAGCGCTAGTCTTCCTGGATTATGTCTTATTCTTCTGAGAATAATGCAGCTAGGCACTTAAAAGCAGCAGGCCTCCTAAAATCTCTTTTCATACACAGAAGTACCAAACTCTTCTGCCTATGTTTTTCTGTTTAAAATGCCATTGCTTTTCTACTTCATTTCTCTTTTACCTTTTATTATTTTCTTTTACCTGACTCTTTTGACACTTGAGGCCAGTTATGTCACTGTGTGACTGGGTCTTTTAGAAGGAATTTTTATTTTCACGATGTATGTTGGGCTCAGTTTTCTGGTGTTGTTCACTTATAATATTATTGATGTCTGCTTCAGGTTGGATCATTTTCTTCACTTATCTTTTGATGTTTATTCAGTCAACTGTTTGGTAAAATAGGCTCTGTGAGACCCCATTATGATTTCTCAGACATAATGTGGGTGACCTAACTAGGCCCATGCTTGAGTTTAAAATGTTAATTTCAACTCAACTCCATCCAAACTTTTTTTTTTTTACATTTTTTAAAGTTTTCAATTAAATTTATTTATATGTGGTGCTGAGAATCGAACCCAGTGCCTCACACATGCTAGGTAAGTGCTCTTCACTGAGCCACAACCCCAGCTTCTTCAGAACTTTTTTATAGAAGCAATACGATGTGAGAGAACAGTTCTTTCCATTACCAAGAAAACAGTGTTTATATATTTCGTGTGTACAGTTTCATGTATATATTATAAAAAATAAAAATTAAAATTAAACTTTCTTTTTTTCTTCCAGAAAGTGGCTCCAATGAAGGATTCATGTTTCCTGCTTTGAATGAGTCATTTCTCTGAAGGAAGAAATCAGTGATAGTCGGACAAGACTGCATTTAAATAAATTCTGAACTATTTTCTGACATGTTTAAATCTTTAAACTCAACCAATCTGGGAATATCCTCTAGGCACTATAATTGGAAGCTGAGATGAAAACAACTAAAACAGAAATTTTAAGAGCAAGCAGAATGTCTTGCTTTGTGGTTTGGCTAAATCCCTATGTAGTTGAATTCCTTTAGTAGACATTCCAGAATACTGCCTGAAGTATTCCTAAGATGATGACTTTTAACTATTGAATTATCTAATGCAATAACTGTGAGGCCCATTAAATTTTTGAAAAACCCAAGAACGTACACTTTGTAAAATGCTGTGTGTTTCTGCAGTGATCACACAATTTTCTTGCACACTGATTAAAGCCCCCAAATATTGGTGCTTATAAACCAAATTCTGATATTCCCCCTACCTACTTTTGTTCTGAAAGTACAGCTCAATCTGGGCCTATATGACTCTCTGTGATTCTAAGCTTCCATTGGTCACATTTTCAAACTGTTCATTTCCTGAGATTAGTAAATGATAAACCAAGCAGATGGGCTGGTATTTGTTTATGTGCATTCACAAAAACATTAACAGGAATGTTCTGATATAGATAAAGGCTATTTCAACAGGCAGTGCTTGAACACCTGAGGCCAAATCTGTGTTGTCAAGGCACAGTTTGGCATGTGCCTGTACAAGACAATTTCAAAATTTTGATTCAGACATAGTGGATTATTGTCAAGAAATCTAGGCATATTATTTTCTAGTACCTGTGGAGAAAAACCTGTTTTTTTTTTTTCTTTCTTTTATTTATTTTTTTTTTGGTGACTCAGGTTTACATGTTGCCTTGGCTT